GTCAGACTTGTGCTGGTGACAGTGGGCTGTCCCTCATATAAAGCCCAACACCCAAGAACAGGGAGAGGGAAGAAAGTAACTGGGAGAATTTGGGGGGGAACTGGGTGAGTTCTCCTCAACCTAAGGAGCAGCCGAGCTCCTTTCAACTCAGTTTAGTACTGTATTAAAAATGTATGTTTCTCTCCAGTTCAAGCTGCCTCCATAAGCATTTCTACAAAACTGCTGAGACTAAAGCTATCAGACACTTAATCAAACAACAGAGACAGTTTTCCTCTGGTGTTGGAGTGGATTTTTGGTTTTCAATCCCATAAACTGCTTTGAGTAAGGGAGAGAACAGGTAAAAAACAGAACTGAACTTCAGTCATTTTCTTCCTGATGCCATGCTTTTCCTTTGGTGCCAATACCAGCATCATTATCCAACTGAAAAATCAGCAGACACCCTTGTTCCTTGTAGGGTGATACACTGCAGTCATCTTTGTGGTGTCAGCCAGCCTGCTGCTCCTGCAAGTTATTCATCTGAACTAATATGGACAAGGAGGAAGATGCTAATGCCACTGTGTACACTGGTGGTGCTTGTTTGCCTAACAAGTGATGTAATTCACTGCATTTCTTGTATTCCTTCTCTTCCTGTACACCAGCCTGCCCTATTCTACTTATAAAATACGCAGTTAGATGTGCTTTTCTTGCTCAGTCTATACTTGGAGCTCTGTGTGCCTTTCTGCCCCAAAATCTCCCTTCTTGGGGCATTTATTCTCACTTGCATCTACATGTTGGACTTTATTAGCTGAATAAAAACTGTAGCAAATATAAGGTGACCAAGACAAAAATAATACTAGAATTTGCCAAGCAATGTTATTCATCTGGGTTATGGTCAAGTTTTGCAGAAGGTGAAGAATCAATTCAGTCTTTCAGTCCTTTCTAGAATCGCAAGACAACTCTCTAGTCTGATGTGACTGACAGATTAGATTCCCTTTACAGTTTCACTTCTTGCATACTCTGTTAAATAGAACTTCCTGGATGTTGTGAGTGTACTATGCCTAAAACACTTGCGATAAAGCTATTTTTAAATTCAGTTTTGACAAAGGAAGCTTTCAAAAGCTTCAAAGGTATCGGAACCCGTTGTTAGACTTGAAGCCACTTCTTGTCTTGCTTACCTTGCTTGTAGGCGCCACTAACGTGTTTTCCACGACATTTCATTTTTTTGCTGGCGTTTTTCTGCCTCATTAATTCATTTCAGGATTACCTCTACTAACTTTAGTAACAGATGATGATCACTACATAGTTCAAAACAACCAGAACCACAGAACCACGGTAAGGTTCACTCAAAGACCCATTCTCCATATATCACCCTTCTTAGACTTGTATGTAGTATATTACTGCATTGACTCTGTTTTGAAGGCGAAGTCTTTAAAATATGAACATTCAATACAACGGTTTTCTTTGTTAAAAAAACCAGCTTTGGATAGGAGCTAGATTTTAGTGTGCTGGAGTCACCAAATCCCAGAGCAAACATTACTGTGATTTTATTCCCCCCGTACCCCTGCATATTGGTATAAATATTTGCTAGTTGCCTTTTCTGAAACCGTAGGAACTTTGGAACAAGAACTGCATCATGGCAGTTTGTTGCATTGAAAAGCAGGACTAAGCACTACAATTATAATAAATATTTCCTAGGAACTGCATTCATTGGATTTTCCTGTGCATACAAGTGTGGTTTTTTCCTAGTACGTACTTTTATTGCAAATTAAATGAAAATAATTCAAGGCTGGGGGAAACAAAGAACGGACTAAACACTGAAGAGTTTCACCATCCTGAACTAGGACTGAAAAAACAACATGAGTCACACAATTCAAAAGCATACACAGCAATAACCTCAAAATTAGGAACACTGTTTTCATATTAAAATTCTAAATTATTTTCCACTATTACTTTAATCATAATCTAAATCTAAATCAGCTTTCATTTAAAATGTTGTCTAAAATATTTTTGAAATGTAATATGTATTTTTCCCGAACCTTTCAAGATTATGCTTTCCAATTCGGGATTTCTGTTTTGACTAACTGGGGTTTTTTAAACAAATACAATTAAATTTTCATTAAAAAAAATTCTTAAACCAGCTCAAGTAAAAAGTTATTTTTCAAAAGACACTTTTGTCTTCCTGACAGCATCCTCCATGTGGAAGTAGGAACTCTAAAAATTAACAGAAGGTGTATGTGGAGGAGGTGGGAAGTTTAAAAAAATGCCAGATCTATCATCTGTATTATTAATATGTCAGATCTGGTGTGTATGGAGAAGAGGCTACAGATTTGATGGCATTTCTGTGCAATGAACACCTCTCACGATCTATGAGTCCTGAGGTGGTGTTGAATTTGTGATGAGCTGTCCATTTAAGACAGAAGGAATGTCTTGAGTAAGGAGAGAAAAGGAATCCTGAACCACGACAGCCCCACGCAGGGGAGGGAGGGAAGCACTCAGTTACTACATTTTTAATGAATAGCAGTGTGAAGTTAAAAATAAAAACAGCAAGGAGAAGAGTGCAGCTTTAATGAAGAGATGGATGGAGAACGTGTCAGCTCAGGAAGCTCCAAAGCCAGGCTAGCGCTAGGAGACAGGGCTGCCTCTCTTGGCTTCTCTTTAAATAAAAGTCCACTCTGGCCATGCAGAATAGCTGAGTTGGAGCCTAGGCTTCCATGAGAAAGATATCTGTCTAAGAAATCCTAAAAAACTAGGAGGAAAAAAAAAGAGACAGCTGTCAGATAAAAACGCAAAGTATTTTTCTTTTGCAACTTTGTTTCCAAGTTTTATAATCCGATTCGGATGATTTGGATGTTACCCCCAAAAGTGCTGCAGGTGAGCTGCCTGAAAAGCTGTAATAAACATGGGTATTTAGCACCCGCTTCCCAGCAGGCTGCACAGCTCAGCTTAGGGATTTGGCAGCCATGTATCAGGACAGAGAGCAAAAGCCTCAGTTAATGTATTTGTACTAATATCTCTCCAGCAGCAGATAGAAGGTAGAAATGTGTAGTTTTGGGCAACCACATATTGTGACTATCTCCTTGACTCTTCATGTTTTTGATCTGCACTTTAAGATCTTGTGAAAACATAAGTGTGAGAAAGATCTCGTACTGTGACCATCCTGAGGGTCAGTCAAGAGCTTTCAGTGTCAGTCGCTCAGGCAAATGCCTAAGAAGAATTGAAGGAGGTGGTAGCAGTTGAGAAAATAGAAACATCTCAGTGAAACAGAGAAATGCACCCCAGCTAGTATTTTATGAATCACTACTATTCCTGTGCAGGTCTTTCCACTTCCACTTGAAGCTCTGTAACTGGGCGCTTGCTTTATCACTACTACCTGTGCGAAAGGTTGGTGGAAGCAATTTCATTATTTACAGTTACTGACCTACTCAAGAAGGTTCTTTGCGTCTCAATTTTTTTCTGAATGTAATGAGGCAAAAAAACAGGATGCCAAAGGCAGCACTTACCAATCACTTCACTAGGAACATCACTATACTCCAAAATGCACATTAATTATCACAAAACCATCACACATGGAAATACTCCTCTACCTCACCTACTCGGAAAACTCACATACTGGCACTTCTTGCATTTCCCCCTCCAGCTTTGTTTCCATCCTCCGAGATGTACATTCCTTCTTTAGCCCATGCAAAGGAAGAGATATTCCTGGCATCCGTGTGTGCATTACCATGGTTACCTAGTTCATCTGCAGCAAAATGGGTTGGTTCATGACCTGACATGGCAGCTCCAGGAGCACACTCCTCCCTTGTCCACCGCTTTTCAACCTCTCCTGCTGCAATTTTTTTCCGAAAGCCCAAATGCAGGCAACAGCAGAGCACCCAACAGAAACTCTCCCAAAGTCTTTGACACATTTTGCTGCCTATATACTTTGTCTCTAAGTGTGGGGCAAGCCCAGTCCTGAGTTTTCAAGCATTTTTTTTCAGCAAGCCATCATCAGTAGCATACCTGCAGATATTAGCTGCTGAATTTTATTTGACGACGCAGTATTACACTCGGAAATTTAGTCTCAGAAGCATACTCATGAGAACATCCATGACTGCAAAACAACCTGGGTCTGTCAGGGAAAAATAAAAGTTCAGGGCACAAGAATGAGGACCATGAAGCTGGATGGGGGGAACAAATAGCTCCCACAAAAGCAGTTTTGGTTTCCTTGGTGTCACCAAATTCTACAGTACAAGTTGAGTAATACTGAGATATGAGCAAGAGAAGCATCAAACCTAAATGAGCTTTCAATATCCAATTAGGTATAAACAACAAAATATTGATAAAATATAATGAAGACAGAATTCAATCCAGGCAGAAGGCATATGTATCTCCACAAAGGGCTCAAATTCTCACTCAGACAAAACTTATCAACTTTGATTTTTTAAGCAACACCATTCTTGTGTTTCTGTTTTGGTTTGTTGTGTTGTTTTTTTTCTCCCCAGGCAACATATATAACAAAATAGATATGTAAACTGTTACAAAGAATGCCTGCTCGCATCATTCATCTATTCCCATAATTTATGTTTCCAATATTCATAATAAATTTGACCTATATAAATAAACTTAAAGCAATGATGTAACCTCTGGAAATGGTACACTGAATGTGTACCACACAATGTCACGGCAAACACAGATGTATCTTATGGCAATTCTGAAAACACAAATACCAATGAATCTCTGTGAAGAAAGCAAAAGCTGGCAAAATTCAAAATTACACTGAACGTGTACCACACAATGTCACGGCAAACATGTCATGGCAATTCTGAAAACACAAATACCAATGAATCTCTGTGAAGAAAGCAAAAGCTGGCAAAATTCAAAATGGCTTTGTAGTCATATAGTTATGCAAAATAAAGTTGTGAACTTCTCCAGACTTGTTTTAACATGGCTGAAACAGAGTGGGTAATTTGTTTGCATTCGAACGACAAAAAAGATCAGTCAAATGAAAAGTCTACACAAAAATGACCAACTTGTACACATACCTTTTCCATTTATTGTTAATGCTGATGCAATTGTGGCTGTTACTGGCACTGGTAATTGTGGCACTAATGGATGTATCCTTGGTCGGCTCCCCATTCTAGCACGCTCTGCACCAGGTCCTAATAAAGCTCCCACTGGTTTTTCTGCTGCTACTTCTGGTGCTACAGAGTCTTCTTGATCCTGCTCTATATGGTCCATTTTATCAGGGCTTTCATTCTGGAAGCCATCAACTGTTGTCCGGCTCTTAATTGGACTTTTGGGCACTAGAATCTTAATACCTGATTTTGCAAGGTCCATATTTTTCCTTCCAGAAAGAGACGGTGAATTGTTTTTCCGGAACTTCTGGGTGGCAGAAAAGAGTTGATTATTTTTTGACTCATGGTCTTTACCCATAACTAAAGATTTAGTAGATGTCTTTGAAAAAGAACTATTGGTAGATCTAGAAATTTGTTTTCTGGCATTATTTGGAGAGGTCCTGTTTGTCCTGGTTAGTGTGCTTTCTTTCTGCTTTTCATTGTGGCGTCTGTTAAATTCATGTATATATTCCTCACAATTAACAAGGTGCTGTTCTGGCTCCCAAGTATCATCTTCACTGTTGTATCCTTTCCATCGCACCAAATACTCTGTTTTTCCCTTCTTGTTTTTCCTCTTGTCAACAATTCTCTCTACCTGTTAAAAAGGAAAACGAAGCATTATACATGGGCACATAAACAACTCCAGGGAGTAACTTGAACGCAAATAATCTTTTAAGTGTAGATAGATTTAAAAATACTCTTGTAGTTCCACAATTCCGTATTGCAGCTCTACAGCTTAGTCTTTCACCACTGACTGTAAACTCCTCCCTTTAAACTCCCAATTTTTACTTCCATCTCATAAAAGATGTTCTAAAATACCAAAATTGTTATTCAGTAAATATTTTGCATGCACAAGAATCTGAATATGACATCTTACAGTGTTTTGACACCAACTTGAACACGGATAGGATTTCCCTTTCCGAATACAGAGATCATGTTTAAATGTGTTGTATAAGACCAGTGGACTTACCTTGCAAAACTTAACAATTTGATATTGTTTGAGTAATTTGCTTGCTTAGCAGAAGATACATATAAGAATCTCTTACAGTGAGCTATCCTTTAGCTACCAGGGACAATATGGTATAAAGCTCAGAAATTTGAGCAAATATAGAAGAAGTTGTTGTTCTTGTGAAAACAGAGAACTTGTTTGGGCCAGAGCCTTTGATACACATACTTGAACAAATTACTGTGCTTCACTTATCTGCAAACAGAGATGATATTTATGTCACTAGTACTAAGCATGGACATGCTACAGCAACTGCATATGGGACCCACAGGCCAGAGGAATCCAGGCACTGGGGTAACACAGACAGGGCACAAGCAGCAGCTGCAGGGACAGAGAGGGGCTCATGTCTTGTACCAAAACTCATGCCAGTCATGCTAGTCCTGCAGAAAGGGAATTGTTTTGCAGCAAAAGAAATCTAAGTGCAAGGCTAGTGTTAGGATTTTCATTTTCTATTTAAATTTTTCCTACCCAGACTGATCCTTCTGGTAAATCCTATAGCCCATTTCCTTCCAATTACTGGACCAATACAGCTTTCTTCCCCATCTCTATCTTCCTTTTGGTTAATTAAAGACAAACAAGTAAAAAAAACCAAAAAAACCCACACTCAAAACCACAGAAAACCACAACAAAACAACAGAACAAACCCAACAAAACTCCACCAAATAGGAGAGATGGGTCTATCGCTTATTAATTTAACTCCTAGACACTCATGAACCAAGATCATGCATCCAAGCCAAGTTCACACCTACCTAAGAGAAGCTCTGAAGACCAGCAACATTTACTGAAGTGGCATTAACTGAATGGAATGTCTACAGAGCAGTTTGGAAGGACAGAAGGAAAATACAGGTATGTATGGTATACATATACGGTATATGATTCTTACAACTATTAACAACAGATTCACTTAAAAGGGCACCTCGGGTGTGTATGTGGTACCTTATCACAATGCACTGCCTGGTGTTCAACAATGAGGTTAAATGACTACTATTATTATAATCTCAGCAGCAATATAACTACATATCCTACAAGTTCATGTGTTACCCTGCAGGTGTTCTACTGTGCTGTTCTGTCATTAGGAAGCTTTACAGCTCTGCATGGGTCTTAAACAAACGCAACCAAAGCAACAACGCACAAGTAAAAACCAAATACAAAATAGCTCCACCTTTACCTTGTTACTCATTTGTGCAACTGAAGACATCTTATAGAGTAATGCAAACTAAATTGTCCAAATACTATTTAAAATGTTAAAATACGTTAGAAGTATTTTTATTCTCATTATTTCACTTTTTCGTAAAGTTACTGGACTTAAAAATCCATACAGCTAGAAAAATGAAACTACTGCTATTTTGCAAAACTAAGAACATCTTAACAAAAATGCGTATTAAGCCAGAAATGTTAAATTAAAAAATAAAAACAAACTCATGAATCAAAACAGCTATTGTCATAGTCTTGCCTACCTTCTCTCAACCTTCTGAAACAGATCTAAAAAACACAATTCTCAGAAAAAGATCTCTACTACAAGCAAGATATTTTTATTTTCTAGCAGGAAATCTTTGTAGCAAACAGCATTGATTATCAGGCACAAAGTTGTACTAACGTCTGTCAACACTCGAAGGCTACCCATTAAGGACATGCCCTTTTCAAGTAGGAAGCCAGTCCTCTCATCCAAAAAAACCAGACACCTTGCAGAGATAACAGATGAACTCTAGAACAAGAGATGCAAAAATCCACTCCCAACTGGATCATTTATAGAGCAAATAGAAATGCGTAAAGAAAACCATTACATTTAGCTTTACTGTCCAAGTCTGCAAGAAAGCTTGCTTTGACTTTTCTTTTTCTGATTAAAAGAAGACTTTTCTCCAAACCTTTTAATTCTTCTTGAAGACATTTCTATTTTATTTACAATAGAGAAATAACAGCAACTAGCCTGTGGTACACAATTTATCATGTGCCTTCAGAACTTTAGTGAGGGACTTTTTGGATTGCCTCAGCATGATTACTCTAACTCCACTAGGACCTCTTAAAAAACCGCTCAGGCATATTCTGCTTCAATATTTTTGTTGGTGTTAACAGTTACATACATGTTCTTCATCAAGATGTGGGAAGAGGAAACAGGACTGCTTCCACAATGTACCAAGGGTTCAGGCATAGAACAGGAATAGAAATATTCATCCTGAACTAGTGGCATATTTAAGCTCGATTTCACGGCAAAAACAGAGGCCACAAACTTGTACTTCTCTTTTCCTACTGAAAAAGAAAGCACGTACAAGTCATCCTTTTCTGCTTTCATATACCAGCGGTGATATGACGTGAAATATAATGCAAAACATCTTAAAGTCATATGTTAGAAGATATCAACCACTAACAACCAAATATTAAAATGAAATAAAAAGAACATGACCAGGTGGGGGAAAAAAAAAGGTCTACACTCTTACTTCCATACCCATCAGCTACAGTGCAGTCTGATGACAGAGCTAAACTGTTAGAACAGCAAGGTCACGTCCACATGGGCAACATTACTTCTCCCTCAGCTATTGTCACCCTGGAGCTAAGCTGGTGCTTTTCTGATCATCTGCCAAGTTACTTCAGAGAGTTAGAAACTGGCAAAGTGCCCCTAGGCACCAGCATGAGAGTTAGACCACATCCTTAGCCATGATCACACCAGAAATGCTGGCAAAACCCAGTTCGTGCCAACTCACACCATTCCAACAGTGACCAATGCTTTCTGCTGCAGGGTAATATTTAGTAATTAAAAGGGTTTGTACCACCAGGATATGCTGCTAATGGTTAGTTTTCAAGTGTTGTGGAAGAATCAAAACAAGAAAAGCTGTATAAAAAACATAAAACAAGAGTAAGGGAAAGTTATCAGGCAAATTATCTGGGTGGCAAAAAGACAGTATCTCCCAGTTTATTTTAGCATGCTAAATTGTCGTCTTCCACAAAAAAAACTGTCAGAAAAACAATGCACTGCTGTATAATCCAACAGCCAAGTGCCGAAATTACAATCCCACACACCATAATTACATCTGAGATTTTCTGTCTGTAAAATGGTAAATTTCCTTTCCTTCCATGAATGTGGCAAGAATCAGTTCATGTTTGCTTCCTCTCCTGAAGAAGCAGATTGATTAACAAAATATGGCATTTCTGAAAACCAGACAAGAACAAGAGAAGGCTGCAAGCTGAAATGTTTGGCTACAGCTGCGCCAGGTGAAAACAGCAATGCTGCGGCTGCTCCGCCCCATCCTGTGCTCAGAGACAACAGCTCCTCCCCATCTGTCAGCACAACTTCTTGTGTAATTATTCCCTAATGTGGTTCCGTCAAAGTGACCTGGTTTAGATATTAGGAATACCTGAGCTAATGTAGGCATCCTGAAAAACCTGGTTTGGAGAGCAGCCACGTATGCGGTATTTTCTGACACATCTAAGAGGACTGCAACTTCCAGCAGAGAACAACAAACACCTAGGGGCAGGACAGGTACAATAACCATTTCTTTCTGATACGGTCAAAAAAAGGTCAAACAATCTTTATCTGCGATGAAAGATCTCTAGTTCAGGTCAATGAGGGTAAGGATGAAATTCAAGAGGATGTTCTCAGTCTAAAGCACTGTAATTTGGGCACATTTGTGAACTCCATGTAAGGTATACTCTGTGTGTGTATGTGTATATATATATATATGGTCTTTATATATATTAAAATATCATACTTTAACAGAAGATTTGAAGAGATTAAATGAACGATACAGCTACCAGTGGCAGAAGGGTGGATGACAACAACGATAAAAACCAGAATGAGGAAAATAAGTAGGCATGTAAATATTCAATGACTGCTGCCTTGTTTATCATAAATCCATTTTGCATTCCCATGACGTTCCTCTCTGTCCTCACATTCACGTCAGGTTATATTAATTTAAAGTTAAGAGAATAGACTCTATTTGACTTCATACTCTATCTGTTGCCTGTACAATACAGGAAAAGGCCTTGTTCTGTTAGCTGAAGGCTATGTTTACGTAACTGTTTTGGTTCAGAGCAACAGTGGAATTTAGAAGCAAATTCTTCTCCCCTCTGTACTATTCCTGCTTACTGTGCAGCGGTTTTTGTTCACAGATCGGTTTTTGCGTACGTGACGTGGATTCTTTATGGAGAACCATGAACTGGAAATGGTGGTGCCAATGCTATGGTGTTATCTGTCATGCTTCAACCCCTAAGGGTGCACACAGGTCCAAGCAAATAACAGCTCCGAACCGTTTCAACACACATTGTGGCAGGGATATATGATCCCGAGAGGCTCTGCTAAATCTGCACAGCAAAATACGTTGAGGTGGGGGTCATAGCACCAACTGCTTCGCTCTACTGGTTTTCTCCAACTGACCCAGATAACTGCTGTAGACATTCCTCAATGCAGAGACTGAAGGTAGAATAAACTCACGTTTTGCACACATGTATATGCTGCACGTGAGCGGTAACCCTTGGCTGAATTGGAAACTGTTACATGTACAATGGGACCTGAACCATCATCCACAGGCAATCAGCAATGTGCATGGATGACTGTATACTCTACTTATTAAAATCTTGCAGATGTCCATGATAAA